GGCATGGTCATGGACGTCGCTCGTACGTCCATGATCCATGCAGCTGCTCCCCATTTTCTGTGGCCGTTCGCGGTCCTGTACGCTGCGCATCAGCTCAACCTTCAGCCTCGTGTCTCCGTGCCGGAGACCACACCTACTCTGCGGTGGACGGGGAAGGTTGGCGATGCGTCTGTGTTCCGTGTCTAGGGATCTCGAGCTTTTGTCCGCGATTCTTCCGCGGACAAGCTGTCCTCCCATGCTGTTCCCTGCGTCTTCCTTGGCTTCCCCCCTGACGCGCCTGGTTGGCAGTTTTACCACCCCACCTCGCGTCGTGTTCTGTCCTCTCAGGACGTCACGTTTGACGAGTCGGTATCTTACTACCGTCTCTTTCCCTACCGCACTGCCCCTCTCCCCCCCCCGCCGCTCTTCCTAGCACCAGGTGCTCCTCCGGTAGACCCCCTCCCCCCTCAGGGTCCTTCCCCCTCAGGTGTGTCCCAGGTAGACCCTGTCGAGCCTGTCGAGGTAGCTGTCGACTCTGGTGCTGCTAGGGGTGCTGAGCCTGCGGGTGCGGGGCCTGGGGGTGCTGAGCCTGGGGTTGCTGAGTCTGAGGGTGCGGAGCCTGGGGGTGCTGAGCCTGAGCGTGTGGAGCCTGGGGGTGCTGAGTCTGGGGGTGCTGAGCCTGGGGGTGCTGAGCATGGGGGTGCTGAGCCTGAGCGTGCTGAGTCTGGAGGTCCTCTGGGTGTCTTGTCATGGCGGGAGTCCCTCTCTCCACAGCAGCTGCGCGAGTGGTACGCTAGGCGCTGCAGCCGTGCTGCTGGAGCTGGGGGGCCTGCCGCTGGAGGTGCTACTGGAGCTGGAGCTGCTGGAGGTACTGCTGGTGCTGGAGCTGCTAGAGGTGCTGGAGCCGCTGGTCCCGGAGGTGCTCGTACTGGAGGTACTGGAGCTGCAGGAGCTGGAGCTGCTGGAGGTACTACTGGTGCTAGAGCTGCTGGAGGTGCTGGAGCCGTTGGAGGTGCTGGAGCCGCTGGTCCCGGAGGTGCTCGTATTGGAGGTACTGGAGCTACTGGAGCTGGTGGTGCAGCAGGATTTGGAGCTGAAGGTGCTGCAGAAGTTGGAGCTGGAGGCGCTGGAGCTGTTACTGCTGGAGGTGCTGCTGGAGGTGCTGCTGGTGCTGGAGCTGGTAGTGCTGAGGGAGTTGGAGCTGGAGACCCTGGCGCTGGGGGTACTGGTGCTGTCTCTGCTGGTTCTGGAGGCACTGCTCGGCCGCGGCCGTACTTCGTTCCACTCCTTAGCAGGTTCTTGGTCTCCCGCCGTCTACTGGTCCTACTCCTCCCTACCTGTGTCCACCGCCTGTCACGTCGCAGTCACAGTTACAGCCAGCCTCTCCACTGCCTGGTCCTTCTCCTTACTCTGGGCCGACTAGGGGTCTTACGGAGCGTCGTGAGCCTGAGTCTCGTCCTGCGTCACCTGAGTCGCGTCCTGCGTCGCCTGTTCGCACTGTTCGCACTGGTCGTGTTCCGCGTCCGCGTCCTCCTGCTGTCCCAGGCACGCACCAGATGGCACTCCGCCCTTCCACTGCTCCACAGCGTGTCCCTTTGCCGTCTCCTCCTGCGTCCTCTCTTCCTGACGTCCTTGACCCGCCGTCAGACCTTGCTCCTGCTGCCAGTCCTACTGTCACGCGTCTTCTAGCCACTGTTGTCACTGACCCTTCTTTTGAGTCCACTGCTGCGTCTGCCCTAGTTGCTGAGCTGGTTGACTTTGCTGCCGCCTGTCGTCTCGACTACGCCGCTAGTCTTGTTGCTGAGTCTAAGTCTGTCTGTCCTCCGTCCGTCGGGGGTGAGTGTGCTCTTGGCACGGACGTCCTTGAGGACAGGCAGGAGGACTTTGAGTGTTTTGCAGCTGCTGTACCTCATCTCGTGTCCATGCTGATTGCACCTGAGGGAGACCCGGATGCACCAGACATCCCGACCCCGCGCTCTTACGCAGAGGCGATAGAGGGTCCCTACTCCTCTCAGTGGCAGACAGCCATGGACGCAGAGATGCCATCCTGGAAGTCCACAGGCACCTACGTCGACGAGGTTCCCCCACCTGGGGTGAACATCGTTATTGGCATGTGGATTTTCAAGGTGAAGCGGCCGCCGGGTTCTCCGCCTGTCTTCAAGGCGCGTTACGTTGCGCGAGGCTTCAGTCAGCGACAGGGAGTTGACTTCTTCCAGACCTTCTCCCCCACCCCGAAGATGACCACTCTTCGGGTTCTGCTGCACGTCGCCGCTCAGCGTGACTACGAGCTTCACTCTCTTGACTTCAGCACTGCTTTCCTACAGGGCAGCCTGCACAAGGAGATCCGGCTGCGCCGCCCACCTGGCTTCACTGGGTCTTTTCCTGTTGGTACCCAGTGGAGCCTCCGGCAGCCAGTCTACGGTCTCCGCTAGGCACCTCGTGAGTGGCACGACACACTGAGGACGACTCTTGCGGCTCTTGGGTTTGCACCTTCTACTGCTGACCCGTCGCTGTTTCTACGCACTGACACTTCTCTGCCGCCGTTCTACATCCTCGTGTACGTCGACGACTTGGTCTTTGCCACTGCTGACACTGAGGGACTCGCCCACGTGAAGTCGGAGCTGCAGAAGAGACACACGTGCACAGACCTGGGTGAGCTGCGCAGCTATCTTGGCTTGCAGATCACCCGGGACAGAGCACAGCGCACCATTACCTTGACTCAGTCACACATGGTGCAGCAGGTCCTTCAGCGCTTCGGCTTCGAGTACTCCTCGCCACAGGCCACTCCTCTGCCTACCGGTCACTCGCTCTCAGCTCTGCCTTCGGATGAGTCCGTAGAGCTGAGTGGCCCGTATCCAGAGCTTGTGGGCTGCCTCATGTACCTGATGACCTGCACTCGACCTGACCTTGCTTACCCTCTAAGCATCCTGGCTCGCTACGTTGCGCCCGGGAGACACCGACCAGAGCACTGGAAGGCCGCTAAGAGGGTGATGCCCTACTTGTGCAGTACGTCGGGCATGGGGCTCGTGCTTGGAGGACGGGCTCGAGTTGTCCTCACTGGTCACGCAGACGCTTCTTGGGTTGACGACTTGGCTACGCAGCGGTCGTCACAGGGTTACACCTTCAGCCTTGGCTCCGGCTCTGGTTCGTGGCGGTCTACCCGCTCGTCTTCTGTTCTCAGCTCCAGTTGTGAGGCTGAGATCTACGCAGGGGCCATGGCTGCACAGGAGTTACGCTGGCTCACCTACCTGCTGACCGACTTGGGAGAGTCGCCTCGTTCTCCTCGAGTTCTGTACGTCGACAACAAGGCCATGATTGCCTTGTGTCAGGAGCACAGACTGGAGCACAGAACGAAGCACATCGCTCTGCGCTACTTCCTTGCTCGGGAGTTGCAGCAGCGTGGTCAGCTCCGTCTTGTCTACGTGGCCTCTCAGGCCAACACTGCTGATGTCTTCACCAAGGCACTTCAGCCTTGTGATCATCAGCGTTTCTGTACTGTTCTAGGCCTTGTGCCTACTTTGCCTCACTTGCTCACTTCTTGACTTTGCTTGTACTGTGATCTATAGACTTATACCTGCATGCTTCCACTTGCTAGGTTTTGATCACTGTAGTGCTTATCTGCTTTATATAGCTCTGCATGTGAACTGGCCTTGTGGCCATTTGCTTGTGCTCAGAATGCGTGGTGACGTTGTGATCCACCCTGAGCTTGACCTTGCCTCGTTCCCTTGCTTGTCCCCCACTTTGCCTATGGGGGTGTGTCAGAACTATGCATATATGCTCTAGGCTGTAGTGGGGCACTCCTTATGGGGTACAACCCAGTTTAGGTTTTGCCTATACAAACCTTGTACTGCTCTCTTTCTAGTCATTCGTTCCTTCTCATTTCTGACAGACCCTTCGCCTCGGATTTCGTTACAATAAATCCACTCCAGTGCCGGGCTCGTAACAGTGCCACTGCGAGCCGAATTCGCATCGTGTTGTATGTCGGATTCGTGCATCCAACGGCCTCGAAGTAAATTTTGAGTGTCGCCACAAATCTACGGACATCGCTCGCATTCGTGCTGGGATCGAACGCCCCCAGCAGCTTGGCTGCGCTGCTTCGAGATTAATTGTAGCCGGGGCCGCTGACGCAGGTTGAAATGTACGCGTCGTTGCCAGTGCTGTTGTCATTGCTGTTGCTGTGGCGGCTGCTGACTGGTTCGCGAGTAACGTCTCGAGGGGGATAAAAAATTAACGCGGTTCTGGTTTACGTACCGGAATCGGCGTGATCAGTCGTCGCCCCTGCAGTTTTTTTAAGGCTGGGTTATAGCGGTTGAAGAATTGTTGAAGAATTCTGCGCACTCTGTAACTTCATTCATACCATCATCACTCTGGTCGAGTATCACTGCTTGTCACTCGTTACTAGTAAATTCTATCACGCGTGGTCAAAGGGGGAGGCAATGGCGGGGTGCATCCCAAACTATCGATGGCCTATTGACATACTTTCGACTTTGCGCCTCGTTTGTAAGGACTAACTCGACACTTCCACCAAAGACACAATGTTAGAGATATGTAGCAACATATTAAGGACCACCTTGTTGGGCATGAACTCGGTACATTGAATAGAGTCAGGCGGTACTCCACCCTCGAGCGGTGTTGCTTCAATGTAGGTTCATCGTGACTACTACATTTCCCGTGAGCAAGTAAGGGCCTACCGTAGGCAATGTCCACAGTTTGAAGAACGGGTCCAGTACGGAGTGACTCCGCCGAAAATACTGACTGTATATTAACTGGGGCTTTAAGATACACTCAATCCAATCTACGCAATATAGAGCAGATGTATACCGTGTACAGAAATTAGCCATGATATTCTATTTCCATAAAGCCATTACAAACAGAAAGGTGTGGTAAAAAAACTCCGTGAAATAAGAAATACTACTACTGAAAGCAAAAGGGGAGGGGGAAAAGCAGCAAATGGCTCCTGGTACCATCCACAACTTGGTCTAGAGGACCCAACAGCCAGAATCTCTTGCACACGGTAATTTCTAACCAACAGCACCATGGGTGTCGGCAGCAGCAACACCATTACCAAGGATCGGGTTGTCCTGGACGTCCGGGTCCTCCATTTTGTCCCCGACTATCTCGGTGGGGAGAGAACGCACTTCCTCAATTGGGGGGTACCTGATGTACACCTTGAAGTGATCCCTCTGGCTGAACTGCCAGGCATTCTCACCAGGCACCCAAGTCGGGCCCCCCACCTGCCCTCCCGGTTGCAGAATTGTAGTGCGAAGCCAATTCCGGACACGTGCGCACATGCGGGCAGCTTTGTGGAAGTTCGGGGCATCCTTTGTGGGCACTCCTGCTTTCCCCTCGTTGTAGTGGAATATGGGGTACTCTGCCTGCAATCGAAGCATCAAAAGAGGGTAGTCGACAAAATCATGAGTCACGGCCGCATTATGGTTTAGGTTGGGGAATGGCATATTGTGAGAGTCAAGAATATAGATTCGATGGGGGTGGTTTTGAATCCGGCTGCAAGTGAGAGTCACAATACATGGTTCGGACTCACCCCGTACAGAGCGTACCCCAGCGTATATGGGTACAAGCGCAGGGATTTCTTATCGAGACAGCGCCAATACGCAGCGCAGATGAAATCTTCAAACTGCCATGTGGCAAACGGCACGCCGCGCCTATCGCAGTGCCACGTGAGCAAGTAATCATCTGCACATGAGAGTACGGCGGAAATTTTGGTACAGACATGGAAAAAAGATGGGTTGTCAAATGCTGAACTGAAAACAGCTCACCAACGTGCCATGCTATTGCACAGCTATACATCGGGGGTGTTCACCCTGGTCGGAGACAATGAAAGGGTAGAACTAGGTGGTAGACATACATAAATGGCAACAGCGTATGCACAAAGGGATTAGACTCACGAGATTGGAAGTCCCCATAGGCCTGCTGGGCTGTCCGCTGCTGGTCCGTGCTGAGAAGCTTCCAGGGCACATCCTGCGGCATGTCCGCAATGTGTCGCGGGATCCCTAGGATCCTAAACAACACTGTTTTGCCGATCCGAGTGATTTCCCTACGCAGGCGTGATGCAACCTTGTTCCAAATGTGCGCGTGCTTCGGAGAGTCCGCAAGGCAGATCCGTTGCGACACCAGCTGCTGATCCCTCACCACGCCACAGTCTACACATGCCCTGGCGGTGACGTTGGGCTTGGGCCACAACGACAAGTCCTTAACTCCGCTTTCTGGCTCCTCCGTGATGCACCTGTAGTATGCAAGCACCAACTTTTCCTGATGGGGCAAAGAGGAGACAGTGAGGGACATACTAGAGGCATTGTATTTGCCAACATGATGGGGTTTAGGGAGCACTGATCACAATCTGGCTATACATAGTGATAGCTTCTTCGTTTCAACAAGGGCATTCACCGCGCGCTTCAGCCGGGCGTTGAAGCTCTCGTCATCGGAGTTGTTAGATCCGGAGCCGCCACTCGTAGGAACAGGCGTTGACGGTGACGGTCTGAGTGCGATGGTCCCTTGCTGAATTGTTACGAAAAGCGTCGTTGCTGCCTTTTGACTTGCAAGGGTTTCCTGCACTAGAGTGGTTAAGTCGCGGAAAGCCTGCTTGTTGTCAACCATACGCGCTGGAGTTCGGAATTCTGAGCTGCCATCGTTGCAGATGATGCCTCACCTCCCTCGCGGCAGGACCCAACCCAACCGAAATTTGTCAGCCCATGAGCACCAGCAGCGGGAGTGTTTGGCGTGTTGAAAGCCCCGGGCGGCCACTGAGACTATTAACGCCCCTAACCCGATTCTGTCAGGCAATGCACAAATGGCAAAGTAAAAGGCCAGCAAAAAAAAAAAAAAAAAAAAAAAAAAAAAAAAAAAAAAAAACGGGAGCGCAGATGGAAGGGATACGCATTGCGAAGCGCACTCGTATCAGGATCTCGTTCTCCACGGTTAACAGCATTGTGTTCGCCAGCGGATGAGGGTGCGCCCACACCAAAGACCCGATACTTCTTGCCAGTCCCTTCTCACCTGCGTACACGCGACGGGATACTTACGTCAAAGGAAATACACAATAAATCAAATGGGGCGCATAAGATTTATGCGTGACTGGCCATTAGGCCGTACCAGATTGCGGACGTGGATCTCGCGCACGCGGAGTAGACAAACTCGGGCTGTTGGACAGGCGCATTTTCGCGTACCACCCCATCTTGCTGCTCGTCCTCCTCATTGTCGACCTCTGTACAACACGCATCAACATAGCACTTTGTTAGACATTGAACATAACTCACACCAATCACGCGCCATTTTTCCTGAATTACGGGATGGACCCTGTAGTGCCCACAACGACATCACCCGACAACCAGTCACCCCGGTCGCTACACATTGTGACGGAACTGCAAGCAATCCGTGAAAAGGGTGTCGATGTCATCCGGAAGGCTAACGCTTCTGCCCGAAAATACTCTCACCTCCTTCGCCGGGAGATCAACATGGTGGCAGGGCTACTAATACTCCTCGACACCAAGAACCTTGGACTACCCGTGTCGTCGAAACTTCGCCCGCGATATTGCGGACCTTTCCGCGTTGTGAAAATTATCACTCCCGTCATGGCAAAACTTTTATTGCCTGACGAATGGCGCGTCCACGACGCATTCCACGTCAGCCTCCTCATGCCTTTCGTTACGGCAACGATGAACATCGCCTGCCAGAATGCCGCCCCAACGGCTCGACCTGTCCCTAATCCGACACTTGACCCGTCAAAAATTCAGGAGCACTAAGTTTGACTTGACGCTACTACGTGGACTTCTTGATTCGCTGGACCGACCGTACCAGTGAGGACGACACTTGGGTGTCATCCGCCTTGCTTGAAGCACCTTCGCTCCTTGGTGATTATCTCGCCCGCAGGCGTGTCGCTAACATTGACCACCTTTCTTAAAACCGTTGGCACATTTGTCAGAACCGGGTGCTCCAGGATTCGTCATTCTAGTTTGGCGCGAGCGGGAAAAACGTGAATCGGGATCATTTCGGGCGGGAGTTTCTTCTAGTTACCATTCTCGTGATCCCTCGCCTGTGTTAAGCTACCAAACGCGTCATAAGAGTTACCTAACGCGCTAAAATACAGGTATAAGTTAATGTACGCGTTGTAGAGCCCCTTTTTGTTACCATTGGCATACTTTCCCTTCCCTTTTCCTTATCGGGGTTTACTGCTTTGCGTACAACCCCAACTTTCGGACTTGCACGTTCGGCTGGCGTCCACGATTCCGAGTTTGCCTCGCGTCGCCATCGGATTTTGTTAGAATGTAGAACTGAACGAGAATGTGTGAAACTAGGCAGCAGGGTGATACAAGTAGGAAACCCTAGCAATGTTGTACCCCCTAAGGCTAAACCCACTATAGCCTACACAATATGAACATGTATAATGTTTGACACACCCCCATAGGCTAAGTGGGAGACAACCAGATGGTCACAAGACCAGTCAAAGCAAAGCAAAGCAAGCTCAGGGTGGATCTCAAGGAAACCACACAAATTCCGAGCACAAGCAAATGGTCACAAGACCAGTTCACATGCAGTTTGATAATATAACAAGAGGTACAGTGATCACAACCTAACAAGAGTAAACATGCAGGTATATATATATAGAGATCACAGTACAAGCAGAGTCAAGAAGTGAGCAAGTGAGGGAGAGTAGGCACAAGGCATAGAACAGTACAGAAACGCTGATGGTCACAAGGCTGAAGCGCCTTGGTGAACACATCAGCAGTGTTGGCCCGAGTGGCCACGTAACGCAGACGAAGCTGACCACGCTGCTGCAGCTCTCGAGCAAGGAAGTAGCGCAGAGCGATGTGCTTCGTCCTGTGCTCCAGTCTGTGCTCCTGACACAAGGCAATGGCGGCCTTGTTGTCAACGTACAGCACTGGAGGAGAACGAGGCCGCTCTCCCAGGTCGGTCAGCAGGTAGGTGAGCCAGCGTAACTCCTGTGCAGCCATGGCTGTGGCGTAGATCTCAGCCTCACAACTGGAGCTGAGAACAGAAGAAGAGCGAGTAGAACGCCAAGAAACTGAACCAGAGCCAAGGCTGAAGGTGTAACACTGAGACGACCTCTGCGTAGCCTGGTCGTCAGCCCAAGAAGCGTCTGAGTGACCCGTGAGGACAACGTCGCTCCGACCTCCAAGCACGAGCCCCATGCCCGACGTACTGCACAAGTAGCGCAACACCCTCTTAGCGGCATCCATGTGCTCCTTCCGGTGACGGCCGGGAGCGACATAGCGTGCTAGGATGCTAAGAGGGTATGCCAGGTCAGGTCGAGTGCAGGTCATCAGGTACATGAGGCAGCCCACAAGCTCTGGATACGGGCCACTCGGCTCTACGGACTCATCCGAAGGCAGAGCTGAGAGCGAGTGACCGGTAGGCAGAGGAGTGGGCTGAGGCGAGGAGTACGTGAAGCGGAAGCGCTGAAGGACCTGCTGCACCATGTGTGACTGAGTCAAGGTGATGGTGCGCTGTGCTCTGTCCCAGGTGATCCGCAAGCCAAGATAGCTTGTCAGCTCACCCAGGTCTGTGCACGTGTGTCTCTTCTGCAGCTCCAACTTCACGTGGGCGAGTGCCTCAGTGTCAGCAGTAGCAATGACCAAGTCGTCTACGTAAACAAGAACGTAGAACGGCGGCAGAGTGGTGTCGGTGCGTAGAAACAGCGACAGGTCAGCAGTAGAAGGAGCAAACCCAAGAGCAGCAAGAGTAGTCCTCAGTGTGTCGTGCCACTCACGGGGTGCCTGGTGGAGACCGTAGACTGGCCGCCGGAGGCTCCACTGGGTACCAGGAGGGAACGACCCAGTGAAGCCAGGTGGGCGGCGCAGCCAGATCTCCTCGTGCAGGCTGCCCTGTAAGAACGCAGTGCTGAAGTCAAGAGAGTGGAGCTCGTAGTCACGCTGAGCAGCGACGTGCAGCAGAACCCGAAGAGTGGTCATCTTCGGGGTCGGGGAGAAGGTCTGGAAGAAGTCAACTCCCTCTCGCTGACTGAAGCCTCGTGCAACGTAACGCGCCTTGAAGACAGGCGGAGAACCCGGCAGCCGCTTCACCCTGAAAATCTACATGCCACTGACGATGTTCGCCCCAGGTGGGGGAACCTCGTCGACGTAGGTGCCTGTGGACTTCCAGGAAGCCATCTCTACGTCCATGGCTGTCTGCCACTGAGAGGAGTAGGGACCCTCCATCGCCTCTGCGTAAGAGCGTGGGGTCGGGATGTCTGGTGCATCCGGGTCTCCCTCAGGGGCAACTAGCATGGACACGAGATGAGGCAAAGCAGCGGCAAAGCACTCAAGCTGCTCCTGTCTGTCCTCAAGGACGTCCGTGCCAAGAGCACACTCACCCCCGACAGACGGAGGACAGACAGACTCAGACTCAGACTCAGCAACAAGGCTAGCGGCGTAGTCTAGACGACAGGCAGCAGCAAAGTCAACAAGCTCAGCGACTAGAGCAGACGCAGCAGAGGACTCAAAGGAAGGGTCAGTGACAGCAGTGGCAAGGAGACGCGTGACAGTAGGACTGGCAGCACGAAGAGAGTCAGACTCCGGGTCAGCAAGAGCAGGAAGAGAGGACGCTGGTGGAGACGGCATTGGGACACGCTGTGGAGCAGTAGAGGGACGCAGGGTCATATAGTGAGTGCCAAGGACAGGAGGAGGACGCTGACGTGGAACACGACGACCCAGGCGACTCTGGACGCGACTCAGACGACTCTGGACGAGTCTCAGGCGACGGAGGACGAGACTCAGGCTCACGACGCTCCGTAAGACCTCCCGTCGGCGCAGTGTAGGGAGAAGGACCAGGAAGTGGAGAGACTGGCTGTAACTGTGACTGCGACTGGACAAGCGGTGGACTCAGTAGGGGAGGAGTAGGACCAGGAGAGGGCGGAAGGCCAAGAACCTGCTGAAGGAGCGGAACGTAGTACGGCCGTGGCCGCTCAGCACCTCCAGCTCCAACCCCCTCAGCAGGGCCAGTCCCAGCAGCTC